ACTCTCTCCGTGACTCCCTTGTCCGCTCCACACTCCCCTCCAGCTCCACCACACCCGGCACTTTTCCCTGCAACCGCAGGAAGTGCTACACCTGCCCCCATACCTCCTCCCTCACCCCCATCCCAGGCCCCAAGAAGACTTTCCACATCAAGCAGATGTTCACCTGCACATCTGCCAATGTGGTATACTGCATCCGCTGTACCCGGTGTGGCTTCCTCTACATCGGGGAAACCAAGCGGAGACTCGGGGACCGCTTTGCAGAACACCTACGCTCGGTTCGCAATAAACAACTGCACCTCCCAGTCGCGAACCATTTCAACTCCCCCTCCCATTCCTCAGACGACACGTCCATCCTGGGCCTCCTGCAGTGCCACAACGATGCCAGCCGAAGGTTGCAGGAACAGCAACTCATATTCCGCTTAGGAACCCTGCAGCCCAATGGTATCAATGTGGATTTCACAAACTTCAAAATCTCCCCTCCCCCTACCGCATCCCAAAACCAGTCCAGCTCGTCCCTGCCTCCCTAACCTGTTCTTCCTCCCACCTATCCCCTCCTCCCACCTCAAGCCGCACCTCCATCTCCTACCGACTAACCTCATCCCACCCCCTTGACCTGTCCGTCCTCCCTGGACTGACCAATCCCCTCCCTAACTCCCCACCTACACTCACCTTTACTGGCCCCATCCCCGCCTCTTCGACCTGTTTGTTTCCTCTCCACCTATCCTCTCCTCTATCCATCTTCTATCCGCCTCCCACTCTCTCCCTATTTATTTCAGAACCCCCTTCCCCTCCCCCTTTTCTGATGAAGGGTCTAGGCCCAAAACGTCAGCCTCTCTGCTCCTATGATGCTGCTTGGCCTGCTGTGTTCATCCAGCCCTGCACCTTGTTGTCTCAAATTTATTCTTATTGAGTCATAAGTGCAATCTGATTGCCATTACACAAATATCGCTGAGACCTAAATATTCAAAATATTGCAAAAGGAACGGAAAGAAAATGAAAGAAAAACGGTGGAGGAGCTCTGTCATTAAAGAGTAAGATTAGTGTGGTAGAGGCAAATAGCCTTGGTTCAGAACAGCAATCAATTTGGGTGGAGATAAAAGACAGCAAAGAATAAAAGTCATTTCTGGAGTAGTTTAAAACACCCTCTCACAGTAACTTCACGGGGGGGTAAATATGCATGAAGAAAAGCTATGGACTTGAAAGATAGCTACTGCACAAGTCATTTTAATCTTCACATAGATTGGAGGAAACTTTGCAAAGGTAACTTGAGTTCTTAGAGTGTTGTTGGGACAAGTTTAATGCAAAGCAATGTAGAACCAACCAAGAATCAAGCTATTTCGGGTCTGGCATTGTGTAATGGGACAACATCAATAAATGACTAAATACTAAAGGAGCCTGTAGACAACATGGATCACAACATGACAGAATTTCACAATCATTACCAGCAGCAAAATGTGGCTTAAGAGTAGTGCCTCAAGCTTAAATAAAGGCAATTACAAGGGTATAAAGACAAAGACTGGAAAAACAGATTACAGAAAGGAAAAGATTTGCTCAAGTGAGAGTTAGGATCCTGGAGGAAGAACCGGAAAATTAACAGGAAACACTGAAATGACAGGAGTGTTGAACAGGTATTCTGTATTAGTCTTAATAGTTGAAGATGCAAAAAGCATTCCAAGAATAACTAAAAAAAGGGGGAGAAAAAGAACTTAAAAACAATCACAGCCACAAGGTGAATGGTACTGTGAAAATTACTGGGACTTGAGTTGAAATGCTCCGCTGACCTGGCAGCCTGCACCCTAGAGTCTTATACAACCAGCTGCAAAGATAATCGATACATTGGTTGTAATCTTCCAAAATTACCTGAATTCTTGAAAGATCCCAGCAGGGCTTTTGATGACCTCAAGTTTAGAAAGGGTGGAACACTGAAGGCCATCTCGGAAAGTGACCTTGGGAATGGCAAGAGAAATCACTGTAGGTGATTCTCTAGTTACAATTACACTGATAAGAATGGAACCAGGAATGCACAATCCACCCTCAGCTGGACAACAGCAAAGAGTGTTGGGGGAAGGATGGCATGGTCAACCATGTCAAAACAATATGAGGAGGTCACTCAGCTAAGTAGGCATCAACTCTTCATTAGACTCACCCTGATCGAGAAATTAACATAACAAAAATTAAAATAGACACAAATACCATAAAATGTGCTTGTCACTCAAATCTATTTTCTCTAATAACAAAACCGGATTGTGAACACCTCTTTGCTTCTCTAACTTGCTTTGGTCTTTTAAAAACCGCTCCTTAAAACTTCTCATGTTGATCAAGTTTTGGTCATCTACCCCAATGTTTTCCTATGTGACTCTCTGTGCCAGATTTTATTTACAATGCTCCTTAAGTACCTTCGGACGAAAATACAAGTTACTGATGTTTCTGCAAACATGGCAGAACTATTCCCATTGGTATAAGATTAAATAGCAGAGAATAAAGTAATTGGAAAAAGCAAGGGATATGAGAATTTTACCTAATGTGCCATTCATAGGCTCTCACACAAAGGCCTCAACATTATTCCAAAAATTGTATCTTGTCTGCTCTATGTGATTTAATTCATTGGAGGCATCTAGAATGGGTTGATAAAGAATGAAGCGCCCTCTACTGACTTGAAATTGCCTGATTGACAACATGAAATCCATTCTATTATTAAACTTCACAGGCACAATTTTGTTTTAAATTATGGTAAATTCACTAGCTGTTATAAATCTGAAATAAATTACATTTATGTTTCATAGAAATCGGTTATGTTGAAGAGCACCACCTTAAATTTACCAAGCGGTTCCCCTCAGAGGATACAATAAATCTTGAGCTATGCAAAGGACAGCTTACCGTGGCAATGGCAGCTGGTGTGATAACAACACTAGGCTGGCTACCCGCACAAGCCAGTACTCTTTCGTGTTTTAATGGGCTTGAAGTCACAAGAACAGCACTAGAACCTGCAAAAGAAAATTAGATTTTTCTATTTTGTGCAACATCTGAAAAGCCTTCAGTTCAACACTATTTTCAACTTTCACTTTTTATTCAAAAATACAAAAAAAAGGCTGTCTGATAAATCGAGAAAAAGTAGGTTGTCTGTTTTAGTTCAACTCTGTAAGGTGATCAGATCAAGAGGTACCAAAACTCTAAACTTTTCTAAGATAACATTTGTTGTGTTACTCATTAATTAAATGCAAAAAAATGTCATAATACTGTCATTACAACATCTATCAAAAAGAAAAGTAACTGGCACAATCACATTGAGTAACTTGCATTTTAAATGAATTGAAGACTACAATAAAAACATGATTTTTGTGATATCCCATATACATTTTCTAAATTATAAATAGGCTCTGCATTAAAAGGAAGAAAGCATTTTGTGTTAGTATAAAGTAAATAGATTAGGGAGATCAGGAACGACAAATACTTATTGTTTGCAATGAGATTGTCCATATTGCCATCTATCCTAAAGGTTGCATTCTGCTCAATTAGACGGAACAACTTTTACCGACATTTGGTTCTGTTGGCACAGAATCCAACGAATATTTAAAAGAAAATCAGCTCCACCCCTTCACTTTGAAACACCGTGTGTAAGAAGGTGAAAGGAATGGTATCCTTTTTTACAGTAGGAAGTGAACATCAAGGGAAGGAGGTTATGCTTTAGTCATATAGGGAATTGGTGAGACCACGTGCCCAATGCTGTGTAAAGTTTTGGTCCCCTCATTTAATGAACAATGTAAATGCCTAGGACATTCAGAAGCAAGTACAAGACTGATAACTGGAATGAGCAGGTTGTCTTACAAGGAAACTTTAGACAGGCTAGGCTTATTTCCTAGTGACTTCATTGAAATGTAAAACATTCTAACTGGTCTTAACAAGTATGATTTGGAAAGGATGTTTCCTCTTGAGGATGAATTCACAACTAAGTGGCGCTGTTTAAAAATTAGATGTCGCCCTTTTGAGACACGAGGAGAATTTTTTTTTTCTCTCAGAGGATTTTCAGACTTCAAAATTCCCTGCCTCTGAAGGCATTCGAGGTGGGATTATCAAATGTTTTTCAGGTAGGGGCAGATAGATTCTTGTTAGGCAAGGGGATCAAAGGTTGAGGGAGTGGATGCGATGGAAAAATGCAATTCCAAATGTAATCAGTTCAGCCACGATCTTATTGAATGACAAAGACGACTAAAGGGGTCAGATGGCTTACTTCTGCTCCTAACTTGTATGCTTGCATATAGAAGCAAGCTATTTAAGAAGCATATTCAATGGAAGGACTAAACTCTACAATCTAAATAGACTTTTGTAATTGCTGTCTAGTGCTTCTGCAAAGAAAAAGTACAACTGATACAAAATGGATATATAGACTTTGAAGGGATAGAAACAGATGAAGTAATTTGGCAGGTAATGTATCATGTGGGAAAATCGGAGCTTGTCCAATTTGACATAAAGAACAGAGAAACAGAATACTATTTAAAATGAGTGACATTACAGATGCTAAAGTACATAGTGATTTGGATGCCCTTGTACATGAACCACAAAAATGTCTTTTGTACCTGTACAATCACAAAAATCACATACAGGCACAGCAATTGATCAGGAAAGCTTATAGAATGTAAGTCTGCAATGCAAGAGAAATGAAGTATAAAATAGGTAAGTGCTGCTACAGCTGTACAGGGCTGAAGTGAGACCGCAACTGAAGTGCTATGTATAGTTTTGGTGTTCTTACATAAGGAGGGATATAAATGCAGAAGCAGCTTAGAGAAGGTTCAATTGGCTGACTCCTGGGATCAAAGGGCTCTCTTGAAATGCAAGGTTGAGCAGATTGGATCTATACTCAATGGAGTTTAGAAGAGTTGAACAATATAGTTCTTAAGAGGGAACTGTTTGGGCGTCTAGAACTAGGGGGCACAGTCTAAAAATAGTAGATCTCCCATTTAAGAAAAGATGAGGAAGGATTTTCTCTCAAAGGGTTATTAGATTTTGGAATCCTCTTCCTGGATAATAGTGGAGACTGGGTCACATATTCACAATGGTATTGGAAATATTTTTGTTCAAGGGAGTCAAGGGTTATGGTAGGTATAAGGAGTGCAGCAGGCAAGAAAGTGAAGTTACAGCCATAAATCAGCTCAGCCTTGATTCTACTGAATAGTGGAGGTGGCTCAATGGGCCACATGGCCTATTCCTGCTCCTACTTCTTATAATCTTATAATTCACGCAACAACTTGCTTTTGACATATTTCCAAACCGTTATATCTACCATTCATCACATGGCTTGAATCAGAATTTCATGAAGACGGTTTCTGCAAAGATAAATGCTTATCCACTTCATCCTTTTTGGCCTTTCCAAGCCATGTCCAAACTGGCAATTAGGATCTGCTTTCAACACTCAGTCATAACTACACTTGAGCTGTTTGCTAAGGAAAAACAAATCTGTGACTACTCTTAAATTCCACCCCTTATGCTTTTAGGTCTGAACTCTTGGTGACTCACCATGCTAGAAACTTAGTGATCTGCGGGGGAAAGGATCCATGAACTAAACTTCACGGACCACACCTCTATGTCGTCACTTGATAGCTACACCGCAGTTTTCCCACTTTTTTAAAAAAAAAAACAGCTTCCAATTAGAATCCATTGTGCATTTGATATAAATTAAATAAATGGCTAATAAATAAGAAATTCATAATTGAGAAGTCTTTAATTGAAACAGAATTGTTGCACAAATTCAACCAATGATTCATACAATGGAATATAACACTGGTTAGACCTCCAGTGCAGAACAATAAATTCTAGAAACCATTCTTGAGAAAGGATGTCAAGATATTGGACAGGGTACTGAATAGATTTAGCAGAATGATATGAGGGGCTTCAGTTATATCATGCAAGTAGAGAAGCTGGGTTGTTTCTTTGGGAACTGGGCCAACCAATTCCTTATCTCCTTCTCTATCAGGGCAGATTACCTGAAGATGCTGGGAATATGGTTTTCAGGGCCCGGTGTGTGTGCAAAAACTTGGGAGGAGCATATCACCAACGCGAGGCAGAAACTTGGCTTTTGGGAGCACCACTCCATCTCCACTGCATGTAAAAACCAGGTCATCAGGGTGTGAGGTACTCTCTCTGTTATTATACATGGCGCAGGTCTGGCCCATTCCCAGAACCTGTGCCATCGCAGTCACCTGAGCCATCTTCCACTTCATCCAAAGTCTAAGGTAGACTTTGTCCGCAGGGACACCGTGCATAAAGCTCTGGATAACACACCTTTGTCACATCTGCATAACAAACCTGCATCAAGCTGTGCTTAGACTCTCAGTATGCAAACACTAGGTGTCACCATGTACTGAGGTTTTACCTGTCCCTGGTGTTGCGAAGGATAGGACTGGCCTCATTGCAGCAGAGTGCTCCAATTAGTTGGACCATTCTGTATCACCTGTCCTTTGTGAAGAAATTTGTAAACACCTTTGACCACAAGTCCCTCAGGAAGTGGTTGGCGCAGAGCATCCTCAAGACTCTGCTGGAAAAAGACAGGGTGGATCCTATTGGATTGTGCTAGGAGTATACTGTCAAAGACATTTAGCAAAATGTCTCATCGGCAAAACTTTCCAACAAGCACCAAGATATCATTTGGCTGGTGGTGAGAAGGGCACTACTTGTGAGATCCTTCATGTACGCCCAGACTCTCTGTGCCAATGCACACTGCCCTCAAAGCTCAGGCTGGTGGGGGGAGTGGGGTCTGGACATGGGGGTGGTTAAGGGACTGTCACACATCTCCTGCTGGAATGTACCTTTGTGAAGAAAGTATGGAGAAAGATGCAGTGGGACGCACACCAAGACAAACATCGACTGTGCCTTGAGGATCATCAACCCTGCGAAAGACACTCTTTGGTCTGCCCAAGACTTGCAGATCTTCCAGAGCAAGGAGTTGACCTTCACTGAATATTACAGACTGGCACATTCCAAGGTCCAGGATTACGTGCTGAGGGATGCAGCTGCCACCAAGGTGCAGTGGGGAAGACCACCATCTAAGGTCTTTCTGCCGAGGTTAAATGGGAGGCTATTCAATTATCAGACCCTTCCAATGCCTCAAATGTACATAAATATAGTCTTGTACAAGAAAGACATGCCTTTGGTTTGTATGCTGGATACAGACAAACTCCAACGTTTGTTTTATTTCTTCATATGCTATTGTACAGAACTGAACTGCTTTAGTGACTACGTACATAAAGATATTTTTATGAATAAGGTATATTTCTGATATAAAAAAGAGAGAAGCTGGGCTGTTCTCCATTGAGCAAAGAAGACGGATTTGACAGAAGTGCTCAAAATCATGAAGAGATTTGACAAAGTAAAGAAGAACTGCCAACGGCAGAAAAGTCAGTAACGAAAAGACACAGATAGGTAACAGGCAAAATTACCACAGGCAATGTGGAATTTTTTGAAAAAGGAGCACAGCAAGTTGTTTGACAGAATGCATTGCTTGAAAGGGCGATGAAAGCAGCAATACCGCATTTCAAAAGTAAATCAGGGAAATAACTGGAAAAAAATTACTTGGAAAAGAGCAGGAGATTGAGACAAAATTCAACCTCCTCAAAGTGCTAGCACAGGTGTGATAGACTGAAAGGCTTCTGTCTAGGCTATTTCATTCTACAACAGCAATAGATCACAATACTGCCTGTCACTAGAAATGACTGCTGGAAGCAGAGTATTGAGTTAACAATTGGCTTCCTGCAGTATTTCAGCATTCTCATTAAATCCAAGAAGGATTCAATTAACAGAACCCAGTTAAGTAGAGAAAGTTAACAGTTTCAAATAAGCTGAAAACTTTTTAAGAAACGCCAATTATGGGTGATGTGACACATCAAAACAGAATGCTGAAAAGTTGAGTCTGCAGCATTGGTCAACTTACATGTTAACAAATGGTGCTTAAGAAAGAAGCTTTACTTTTGCCAGGGATGGCAGAGGGCAGGCAAATATGTAATTTTTTGACTTAACTAAAATTTTAATTAAATTTTTAACTATTTTAATTCCTAGTGATTCCAAAGGAACATAGGGTAATCTAGCTGTAATTTCAATTCCTTTTTCCCGTCTATTACCCACTCACTCCAATAACTCAACTCCCTGATCGATCAAAAATCTATTTGAACAGAAATTGCTGGTGAAATTGAGCAGGACAGATTAGAGTCACTGGACCGACAACATGGACTCTGCTTTCTCCCCACAGATGCTGCCAGACCTGCGGAATTTTGCCAGTAATTCCTATTTTTGTTTCAGATCTCCAGTATTTGCAGTTCTTTATTTTATTACATAAAAATCTATTTAAGTTGACCTTGGATAAGTTCAATGATCCAGTCTCCACTGCTTCCTGGGGAAGACAACTTACCATTCTAATTACCTTCAGAGAAAAAAAATTTCACTCATTTCTATCTTTAAAGGGAGATTTCTTATCACCTCGTATAAGCTGTGTCCCCTTGTTCTAGTCCCTAGAAGAGGGAACATACACCCAGTACCCATTGTATCAGATCCCCTTAAGATTTTATAAATTTCAACAAGATCATTTCTCTTTTTTGTGAACTCAAATAGATCTTGGCCCAATTTTCCTTCATAAGAAAAGCTTCTCATTCCAAGACTGAACTGTTCTAACACAAATGAGCAATCCAAAACTGTCACGGTACTCCAGATGTGGTATATTGCCTTGGCAAGACAACTGCAGTAGAATATCTCTACGTTAATATTTTAATCCCCTTCCAATAAATACCAAAATTTCATATGCCTTCTTCAGCACTTGATGTAATTTTGTGATTCATGTACCGGGAAACCCAGATCTTTCTGCAACTGATTTCTGCAATCTCTCTTCATTTAAATATTATATTGTTTTTCCAATTCTTTTTGCCATTGACCGCAGGCATGTGACACTCAAAGCTCCATGGCATTAACCAGCTAGATTCTAGAACAAGAAGGGATCCTATTCCCTCAATATCCAGCTCTTTAATGACCATGGTCAACAACTCCGGCAAACGTGCATCTGCTGTCCAGGAAACCGTTACCATGCTTAAATTGTGCACAAATCCAAAGTTCCTCGAAGATTTGTTCCTGGCTCTCCAAAAATCATCTCCAAGGCTGCCTTGTGAGCTTCAAGAGTATTTCCTAAAGGAACAGCTAATGACCCTGGTGCCCAAACATTGCTGCAATGCCAGACATCCACGAGGACTATCACTATCACTGAACAGACTATTGGTTTTCTGAAGATTCACCCCCCACAATTGCCTGGACCATTCAGGAGGACACCAATACCAGCCAGACAGCATCTCCAGAAATAATGACTGCGTGCCTTGCCCTGCGTAACGTATCCCTGCACAACAGTGTAAAATTGGAGGTAGGGGTAATGCGGCTGCCATCATATGTTCAGACAAGAAGAGAGCTTGACAGAGATACAGGAGGAATCAATGCTGATGATAAGGATGTTAGGGAAGCCCGGCCTGTACTAAGACAAGGTAGACAGCCCAAGAAAACCCAGTCGTAGTTAGATTGCAGGTGAGATACAGAAGGAATCAATGCTGATGATAAGGATGCTAGGGAAGCCTGGGCTGTACTAAGACAAGGTAGACAGCCCAAGAAAACCCAGTCGTAGTTAGATTGCAGGGTGAAAGAATTTACATTAACAAATGCGGACAAACAGGACTAAGAGCTAATTACAGTGGAGAAGCTTCCTGTTTTCAAAGGACTGATTGCTTGATCTTTAAAATGTTATGATACTTTGCTTGCCATTAATTACAATGGAATATGATCCCTGGGTACCAACAAACTTCTGTTCAGTTTCGTGGCCAGAATATCAGTATGGAATTATCAGGGGACTGCACTTAATGGCTCAAACCTCAGTCAGCAATGGTCATTCATCCGTTACAGATATGAAGAGGGGCTAAACTTAGCCAATTGACTCCAGAAACCCAAATATCCAGTTTAATTTCCTGCTTTCTAGAGATGAGTTCCTTCCACAGGGCACCAGAGAATGACAGCCTCAGAGCACTTTGCACTGCTCCAAATGATGTACTTATGAGCATGCACAGCGATCAGCACCCCTCAGGGTAGTCTACAAGGAAAATAAACAGTCAGAAGCTTCGACAGATTGAGACAGACAACAGGTCTGTTTTAGGAAGTGCTAAATGTGCACTAAGTGTCATGTTACACAGAAGGTTGGCAGCCACACACCGCAATGACTTCACTGTTTAATTTTGCTTTCCCTACCACTACATCTTGGCAGGGTCTCGACAGGTGACATTGAGATTGATAGAGCTAGCTGACTGATTTGCCGGTTTGCCTCAAATCACTTTAGCAAGCCTTTTTTGGTGGCTCACCAAGTAAACGGACCCTGCCTGCTGGGGTCTCTTACTCAGCATCCTCAGCCTGACCCAATGGCAGCGTTTGGCTCCCTGGCAGAGGGGGTGGTGGTATGGCATGGCATCCTAAAGTGACAATCTTTGGGTGTCTGCCTGTCACTCCTTTTTGTCACATCTATTCTGTGACAACCCTATAGGATGTTATATGTTTCAATCAACTCACCTCTTACTTTTCTAAACTTCGATGGCTATAAGCCTAGCCATTCAAACTTTCCACATAAGAATACCTACTCATGTCAGGAATTAGTCTGGTAAACGTTCTCTGAACAGTTTCCAACACGTCATTTTACCATCCTTCCTTAAATATATGATTAATATTCTATATTGTAGTCCAGATATACTCTCCAGAGTGCCCTGTATAACTGAAAAATGACCTTCAAAAATACTCTTGCATTTAACTCTGCTTGCAATAAATGGTAATATTCTATCAGCTTTCTTAAATACTTGCTATATCTGCATATTAGCCTTTTGCAATACACCCAGATCCCTCTGCAATTCCTCACCATTTGGATAATATACTTTTTTATTCCTCCTGCCAAAATAAACAATTTCAAAGTTTCCCACATTGTATCCCATTTGCTAGATCTTTGCCCACTTACTGAAATAATCCAGATCCTTTTGCAGTCCCTTAACATCTTCCACACAACTCACTTTCCCAACCATCTTGGTGTTATCAGCAAATTTAGCAACAATTCCTTCCAACCCTTAATCCAAACTATTTATATCAACCGTAAACAGTTGAGACGCAGCACTGATCCCTGGAGCGCACCACTCATTACATAAGACTGCAATAACAACTTACCAAAAGGGAATTGCATATACATTTAAAGAGGAAAACTTGTAGAACTATGGCAGAAGAGCAAGGGAGCAGGTGTAATTGCTAACTCTTACAAAAAACTGGACAGGCACATTGGGCAGAATTGCCTTCTGGGCTGATGTCATTTCTAAGTAACAATATCATTTTGTCTGTATACCCAAAGATAGCATTAAGTTACACAACAGAATGCCGAAGCTCAGACTATGTACCACTTAGTGATGAATTCAAAGAAAATATTGTAACCAGCAAAACAAAAAATCGTTTTGGGAAATTAGCATGCAATCGGCAAAATAAATTTCACAGAATCACAGTGTTTTGGCACAGGAGACCATTCAGCCCACTGTGCCTGCAATGGCTCATTAAATAAACATCATTACCTAGTGCCATAAACTATTTCCTCCCCATACCTTTGCACTTTGATTATTTGGCTGAAAACATTGTATGCCCTCTGGAATGCCACAACTGAACCTGTCTCCACTACACTTTATTCAATGACCTATAACTTTCCTCACAAATTGGCTGTGTGGCACTATATCAAATGCTTTCTTAAAGTCCATATACATCATATCAACAGCATTACCTTCATTAAGCCTTTTTGTTAGCTCTTCAAAAAACCCCAGCGTTATTTAAACATGATTTCCCCTTCAGAAATCCATGATTACTCTTCCTGATCAACCCACTTTTTTCAATTCCATCCTGACTAATTGTCTCTAGAAGCTTTCCCAAACAGTAAAGTAAAACTGACTAGTCTGTGATTGCTGGGCTTATCCTCACAAAGTTTCTTGAACAAAGCCACAATATTTGTAATTTTCCTGTATTTTAGCCTCCTGCAAGTCAAGGGAAGACTGAAAGATTGTGGAGTATCCTTAAAATTTCCTCACTTCCTTCAAAACTTCCTTCACTAACCTAGATTCTATTAATTTCAACAGGTAAACAGCCTGATATTAATCACCTTGATGAACAAATTGAGTGTCCATTATCTCATATAAAAGTACAAATTGCAAAAAATAGACATCAAATTTAAGGTCAAAGTTTTCTTACCTGATGCCAAAAATTGTGCTAAGAAGGCATTTGGTGAAGGAGCAGGTGCTATGGGAACTGGGTCTGACTTCAATGCAGGACCAAATTTCTGGAGCTGTTTAGGAGGCCTATTTCCAAGCCCTGGAGAAGGGCCAGCTTTTGGTACAGCAAAAGGTGTAGAAACTTTTGGTGGCTGCATAGTAACATGACAAGGCACTCCTTGTTGTTTTGTGGCAAGATGAAGATTCTGATTTTGGGTGAATGTAGTAGCAGCAGGAATTTGTGTAAACATAGATGAGGCAGTATGAGTAATCGCTGGTGGTGTTGGTGAAGCAGGCAAAGTAAACTTCTGATCCTCTGGTCTTACAAACAACTGGGTATTCAGAGACATGTTGGAAGGCACTTCAGACTTGACTGTTTCTGGTTGCTGGGTTTGGGGAGTCTGAGATGATGGCGCATCAGATGAAAACAGTAGCAAAAATGTCTGCTGGTTGTTTAGTGCTGTCTGTGGACGAAACTCTTGACTCTGAGCAAAAGCCGTGAATTTTGAACTACTATTGTCATTGCTGGTATTACCACGATCCATCACTGAAGGAGGACCAGGAGATGGAATTAGTTCCTCCTCAATGTTAACTGACGACATCGTGCCAGTTAGATTGCTAGCTGGCAAGATAGCTTCCTTGAAAAAACATAATTATATAATAAATGACAAAAATTTTGATTGAGAATAAGTGCTTAGTTGAAGATGGATTAAATTATTCCAACTATATAAATAAATAGACATAATCTTCTGCCACTCCAAAAAATAGCAGAAGTAAAACTGATAAAGAACATAGTTCTTATTCGCCGATTAGAGAACATTGTAGAAATTACTGTTAGCAATGGCAAATGAATATTTAACATGTTTGTATCCATCTCTGCATTTTAAGCAGAGATAATGGCCTGATTCATAAATAAAACAATATTTAGAAAAGGTTTTATTTTCTCTTGCTAATACAACACTTCATTTGCAAGCTATCTGGTAATAGGGTTAGGAAGTGGGAGTATTACAGACAAGTTGGGGAAGTCTGCCAGAGAAATCTAAAAATAGTCAGCAGATGTCAAAATAAAATCCACTAGTCCAAGCCCATTACTCCTAAATCAGGATTATATTTTGCCTATAAACAGCACTGTTGTTCTATTTTTGCTTTAAAATTTCAATAATGTTCAAGTGTTTTCTTGCAAATATACAAACAGCATTTTACTCAAAACGTCAACAACTATTTTGTTATAATTACTAGAATCTGGTAGTCATATGTCCCAAACCCAACTATCAAGGATATAATTGGAGTGTCCTATATAACCTCTAACAACATTTTTGATTTTTTAAAAAAACGTACAAGGTAATTATTTTGATTATAAACATAAAACAGCTGAGTTCAAAACCTTGCTCATTCAATGCTTCAATGATCTTTCCTTTCCTGTTCCTCAGATGTCCCCCTCATTACTTCCTAAAATACAGGAATCCCCAGTAATCTGAGAAGAGGTGGGGCCTGCTCAAATGCAATTAGAAGCTTTAAATTGTCACAACATATTTTACCACTGGGTGATGCTGCAATTAACTACAAAATATTACATTACAGTATTAGCTGAACCCAGCCACTGCACTGTCAGCAAGTGCGTATTAACTCTTCCTGTAAAGTGTCACCAAGTGACGGAATCAGATAACTAAAACAATGTAAGCAAGATATTTAATTAAATCTGTAACAGCAACTCCTGAAATTAGAATTTTTTTTTAAAAGAAAAGTTATCATTGCTGCTAATGATTTTCTGTCACTGTTCAAAGACCAATATTATCTAGAGGTAACTGTGTAACAGGTCAAAGTTACAATACATATGTGGTTGCACAAAACAACTTTAAAAGGCAGGGCACTTAAAGATGGCATCCATTCATTCCAAAACAAATTGGTTTAATGTTGCCCAGATCTAAAAATGACATTCCTGCCATAGGTTCAGTTGTTTTTTTTGCCTTAGGTATTCTCTTAGGCACAAGGTATTGATTATTCCTCCAAGAGTTCTTATTTAGGTGCTGCCTTACTGACATCTGCATATGTTAATACAATAGGACAATCTGGTATCAAAGTAGTATTGGTGATCTGAATTGGTTATCGACATCTTTCACATATGTACATAACTTTCACACTTCTGAAAATGGGAATTTTTGCAAGTCAAGACCACACACAAATAATTAAGTCTTTTCAATGCCACAGCAAGTGAACAGACATAGCTGTCGAAGCTCAAATTCATTCAATTCAACTTGACTACTAATATATTATTTTGTATGTCCCCACACGTTCCCTAGCTTATTTATGAATACATTTTAACTTCTATTCTCATTCTAGACCAGATTGAAATTTCATATTACAGTTTTGTTTTAAAGCTCTGACCAACTTCACAGGTGTTGCTGGGTGTGACTACCTGTGTCTACATCCCTACAGTTCCTCTTTGCCAGAAAAGAATTAACTTTCCAACAGAGAGATGTCGATCAGATTATAGAGGCAAGCAAAAGAGTTAAGGAAAATGAAAAGTACAGAAGGGTTTTGTATTAAGTATACCTTTGTTAAGTTTAAATAATGGATTTCCTTTGCTCTCATCCAAAAATTCCAATTTTTCGGTGATACAACGTCTGGTCAACTAGATCTCCTGAATGAAAACTACTCGCTCAAATAACATTTGTCCTTTGTCTGTTTTCATTCAGTTTGCATTACACAGAATACACATCGACATATAGATGTAGGAGATTTGCTAATCTAAAATCATTCCAAATGCAGCTTTAAAAGCTTCTGGGGGCAGCTGATAAAGGAAACTATTTCCAATTAAAAATAACAATGAAAAATATACAGGATTTGTGCATCAATAAATCCTATGTGTACGCCATTTCCACTTGGGAAACTTAACCAGGTACACATCTTTGTGATAAAAAGTCATTTTTAAAAGTTCTAAGAAGGGCAGATGAAAAATATAAATAGAATTTAAAAAATACTTGGACAGAGCAAAATAATATTGTGAAAAGCAAAGCCCAACTTGTTCAAAATGTTAAGACTTCAAACCAACTTCTTGCTCCTAACAGATACACATCCATTAGATTGCTATTCTTTACAATAATAATGTTCTAACCACTACTGAATGCATCTTCCTCTTTTGAAAATTTCATTGGGCCATCATAGAAATTTACTTCTCCCTTTTTACAGACCATACATAATGATCTAAACCAACACAAAATGAACAAAAGCAAAACTCTGATGACATTCTAATGTTCATTTCAATTTGAATTAATTGGTTAACTGGAATTCTCTTCTCTACTACCATTAACCCCATCTGGGAGAAACAATGAACTCTCCAAATGTGCAGTATTAAAAAAAGCTGGGCTGATCATTTAAAGCCAGAAATAGTTCCAAACTTGGCAAAAACAAACATCATTCATAAAGAGACTGTATCCTTTAAGAAAGAAGCAACATATAAAAGTCAGGTCGTAAAGCCATTAATTTCAACTTGACACACAAACTAAAGTGGTTGAAACTTCATCAACATATCTCCAAAACTGCTGGGAAGCTCTTCTGAACAGTTAAACTAACTGTGTATGCTGCTGATGCTCTTATAGTACATCTTGTCAAAGTCTGTGTGCATCATTTAGTTAGTAAATAAATCCACAACAGTAATTTTAGCTGAATGGTCCAACTATGTAATATTTTTGGCTACCTGAATTGTTGTAAAATACGATTTAATTTACAGGGTGCCATGGTCTCCAAACCTCACCCTTAGTTGGATAGTTGGAGGGGGAACCCACCCAACAGAACAGCTGATTGCAGCTATTTAATGGTAAATTAATGATAAGTAATTGTTATACTCACGCTATAGCAAGGAGAGTAAAATTTCTATTTTCTGCCTAAAAGATTCAGTCTACTATGAAAACAATCAACCTGCTTGCATGAGCACCAGTGTTAAACAAAACACAAGCTGCAGTGAATAACTTCGAACATTCTGGGCAAGACAAAGAGACAGAAAGTTTACCACCTATTACGCAGACTTACTTTACCATCCCTAGATTCCCTTTCCAATACTGTAAAAATAATTACTTTGAAAATGCATTTTGTGACACTATTAATTACGAAATGTAGCTCACTACTTTTATTTTGAAGAATAGCTCTAGTAATTTGCAAAATGTACACAGGAAAGGCAGAAATAAAGACAAGCCATAGTATTACATGTACTGTACATACAGAAACAAAATTCTTACCTGTGGTGGTGAACTGCTGGCACCTAGAGAAGTGACAGAAGGTACAGATGGCGTGGGGGATGAGAACTGGCTGCCAGCCAAAGACGGGAAGCGGGTTGAAGGAAACAAATCTGTAATTAAATAGTTCAGTTTTAGTATCTTTCACAACTTGCAATATCCCATGCACTCTCATTTTTCCATTGAAGTAGTTTAGATGTAATGTGACCTTGGATAACAGTTATACCAAATTTACTTCGGGGGGAAAAAAAACCTATGTAAACTTCATACTTTCCAACATGGAGAAGAAAAAAAAGAAATGTTGTAAAATCAAACTTTTCCATATGAACATGCAATTTTAGGGAGACAGCCAGAAAGCAAACAGGTGAAAATTTTACACCAGTAGTAGAACAGTTGGACAAAAAGCTACAAAAGATGCGGGAACAGAAGTAGGCCATTTGGCCCATCAAGTCAGCTTCACCATTCAATGAAATCATTGTTGATCTGATAATCCTCAGATTCACTTTCCTGCCTTTTTTCCCCAACAAGCTCGGATTTTCTTACTGATTAAAAAAATTGTCCATCTCACCCTCGAATATACGTAACAACCCAGCCTCTCGCATCTCTCTGCGGTAAAGAATTCCACAGAATCTGAGAAAATAATTTTACCATCCACCTTCAAGGGCACTCATTTATTCTGAGATTATGCCTTCTGGTTCTGGACTCTCCCATAGGCAGGAACAACCTCTATAAGCCTCTAAGAATTGTGTATGTTTCAATAAAGTCGCTTCTGATTCTTCTAAATTCCAATGAGTACAAGCCCAACCTACTAAATTTCCCTTCATAAGAAAATCCCTCCATATCAGAAATCATTCTAATTAACCTTCTTTGGACTGCCTCCAATTCCAGTATATCTTTCCTTACATAAGGGGACCAAAACTGTTCACAATATCCTAGATGTGGTCTGACTAGGTATCTAACATAATTTTAGCAAGAGTTCGAGATAACAAGGTGTAGAGCTGGATGAACACAGCAGGCCAAGCAGCATCAGAGGGGCAGGAAAGCTGACGTTTAGGGTTTACAACCTTTTTCTGAAGAAGGGTCCAGACCCGAAACGTCAGCTTTCCTGCTCGGCCTGCTGTGTTCATCCAGCTCTACACCTTGTTATCTCGGATTCTCCAGCATCGGCAGTTCCTACTATCTCTGAAACAACAGTTCCCTATTTTTATATGCCATTCCTTTGGAAATAAAAATTCTATTTGTACTTCCTATTGTACGCTAGCTTTTTGTGATTCACGCACAAGACCCCAAATTTTTCTCTGCTGCAGCTTCTGCAGTCTTTCCTATTTAAATTATATTCATCTCCTCCAATCTGCTCAGCAAAATGAATAACCTCACATTTTCCCCACTTCATATTCTATCAGCCAGACTTTTGCCACTCACGTCTATATCCCTCTGCAGCCAGTTTGTGTTATTCTCACCGCTTGTCTTCCCACCTATTTTTGTGTAATCCTTAAATGTGGAAATAGTACCTTCAGTTCTCTTATCCAAGTCATACACTATATACTGCAAATAATTGTGGCCTCGGTACTGATCCCTGTGGCACTCCAATAGTTACAGGTTGCCATCCTGAAAATGTGTCCCCCATCTCAATTTTCTCAACTATTAGTTTGCCAATCCACTGTCCATGCGTAAAATATCCCAAACACCTTGGGCTCTTATTAAATAGTCTATGCAAATTACCTCACTGAACATCCTTTGGATATCCTGCTATCCTGCTTGTTAGCTCCTCAAGTAAACTTAATAAATTTGTCAGGTATAATACCCCCTCTCATGAAGCCAACAGCAGGAAGAACTTTGTAACTTTTCCAAAGCTTCTGAATGTTTTGTAACGTCGGCCACTACTGTTCAGTAAGGCAAAGTTAAATTTGGTGACCAAAGTGGGAAAGTGCATAACCAAGTAAACTGAAATTTCAATTTCAGAAAACCAGCTTCAGCGCAGGATTGAGTTATTTTTGAATAATTAATCACTTCAGCTTGATTAAGCGTGTGAGGAATAAATTATATTCTGTTTAATTATGGGTAGTTATTAAATAGTTTCTGTACAAAATAACCCACAAGCCCAGGTCAAAGTTAAGATTTATGGTTTTATTGATTTATCATGATTCAAACTAATGTAAACTTAGGTTGATAGACATGAAAATGCTTTGAAGCAGACACAGGTTGCACCCAAAGACATATCAATGTTTTAAAATGGTGACTTACAATAAAGTCACTTGAGCGCCACTGGGCTGCTCTCTCATTAGAGAGAGTGCAAGTGGTGGGATTAACACAAGGCTCATCATGTCTTGGGCAAAGGGCAAGTCTGAGAAGGCAGGACCTTCATAGTAATTTCAGCTGATGTAGAAACTGCTGCTGGCATCACACTGCATCGCAAACCAACAGTCCAGCCAACTGAGCTAACCATTTATAATAACATTGTGTAATATGTTGTATGGTCATTTTGAACTTTAATTCATTTTAGGCATTAACAGTTTTTGTGGCATTACACACGGCTCTCAGTGCAGTATACTGACAGATTTTGGAGAACAATCAGATGTATCAATTCATCATAGTTAATCATTAGGAGGTGACACCACATAGTCTAAGCAGATACATTAATTCTTCACTGGTGCCAACTTATTCTGGTAAAGATCTAAAGGGACGATCTTATAAAATTATTGGCATGCTAAACATTGAATGAGAAAATTAAGGGAAATTATGTTATTAAGATGACCACTACTTTTAAAGAAAGCAATTAGACATAGACTACCTAGGCAATCCAAGACTGACCACGGATATTGGCTAGCAACAGTCAATAAGGCCTGCGTTTTAGTCATTGAATGCACAAAAAGGAATATCAAAGACAATCAAGAGACTGGTGCCCAGTCAAAATGTCATGAACTGGCATTCTAACATGGATAGGCTGAAACCACTATCTTATTAAGTATCACTTGTTTTGTGCTGGCTTTGATAAACGTAATGAATTCTGTAAAACTTGTGAAAACATTCTTGAACCTAGAATGGGTCTTGCAGCTAATCAAGATCAATTAATTTTAGATTGGCTAGTTCAAACTCAGCCTATAACTGTCAACACTGCGTGGAGCTGGAGGAACACAGCAGGAAGCATAAGATTAGGAAAGTCGAAGTTTCGGGTCAGGACCCTTCTTCAGAACTGTGATCCAGGAATTCTGAAGAAGGGTCCTGAGCCGAAACATGGACTTTCCTACTCCTCTGATGCTGCATGACCTGCTGTGTTCCTCCAGCTCCACATCATGTTCACTCTGACATGAGCATCTGCAGTTCTTGGTATCTTCAAGCAGCCTATGATTGTAATTGATGTAGGTCTAACTACTAAAGTTAAAGTATATGCCAAAATGTTACACTGGCATATAGAAATGTGAAAATGATCAACAAGGCATCACGTACCTTGTGATGTTTCTCCACAACAAGTTATCTATCATGAATATATTCAGCAAAAATCAGTAAAACAGCATCAGGCAAGTGGAAATATCAGTACATAAACTACCACTTTCAAATTCAAGGTGGCTATGCAAATCTTACCTTGGAAAGGTTCAAAAGTGTCCATGAAGTCCAGATTGGGCTGTAGCGGAATCAATCCAGGCTGAATCATATCAGCATTTCCTGCATGTGCTGTCAGAAGTATTGGGAGAGTTAAGCATACAGTACCTGAATCACACATTTTGAAGACTAACAATTTCAACATTGAATACTTTGCATCAGGAGCTAGTTTTTCCAATATACTTTGCTTTGTACAACTTGTGTGAGGATGCACCACAAAACGGCAAACACCCACCATTTACAAGTCTATAAGGTGTCTTCATTATTCATTAACATGAAAAATTAAAAGAAAAACTCGCATTTATATTTCTTCTTTCATGGCCTCAGCACATTCAAAAGCATACCAACATGCAAGACGAAGAAGTTAGGAGATAATAATCCCTTACTCCTTACTCTTTACATGCTCCAAATGATTTCTCACCTTTAGTAGCATCAGTACTTTCTCAATCCCGAGTTCACTGCCTTCTTATCCTCCCCGAATCTTTTCTATCTTGTAAACTCCCGAAGCCAAATTCATACCATCCCCACGGTCCTGCTCGTTCCATCATATCAACCCTATTAAGGCCAACTCTGATCTTTTCTTGTATCCCTCACTATACACACACCTCTTCAATACCCAGTCCACCTGTATTTTCCTGGGAAGAAACAAACCCCAGTTCACATAGAACACCACTTCCAAAATCCTAGTTGACCTCCTGGTTCTCTGCTCACATTTTTGCAGTTAATGATTTGATCAACCAGACCCTCACTTGCACGTTTGTTCTCTATCAATGATGTCATACATCATTCTCAGTCAAACAATATCTTGATTTTAAAATTATTTTCCTTGTTTTCAAATCCCTACACAGTCTTACCCCTCTCTATTTCTGTAATCTCCTCTAGTCTCACAAACCTTTGCAGTACGTGCACTCTTCTAATTCTGACATGTTTTGTATCCCCGATTTTAATTGCTGTACTAACGGTGGCTGTGCCTTTGTTATCTCGGCCCCGTGCTTCAAAGGGCCCTCTATATAGATCTTTCTCCTTTACCTCACTTTCCTCCTTCAAGACCCACCATAACTCCTACCTCTTTGACCAAACATTTCTGGGTAAACCATTTGTGGGTCAAACATTTGGTCATCTGACCTACTGTAGCTTGATGTCATATTTTGTTTCAAAACAGTATGAACGGCTGGTTCTGACTTTCAAAAAAAAAATTCACTTATGGGCCATGGGCATCGCTGGTTGGCCAGCATTTATTGACGATCCCTAATTGTCCTTGAGAAAGTGGTGGTGAGCTGCCTTCTTGAACTGCTGCAGTCCATGTGCTGTGGGGTGACCCACAATGCTCTTAGGGAGGAAATTCCAGGATTTCACCCAATGAAGAAATGGTGATATATTTCCAAGTCAGGATAGTGAGTGGCATGAATGGAAATTTGTAGGTGATGGTGTTTTCATGTATCTGCTGCCCTTGTCCTTCTAGATGGAAGTGGTCGTGGGTTTGGACAGTCCTGTCTAAAGATTTTTGGTGAATTTCTGAAGTGCATCATGTAAAATCGTTCACACTGCTACTACTGAGCATCAGTGGTGGAGGAAGTGGTTGCTTGTGGATGTGGTGCCAATCAAGCGGGCTGCTTTGCTCTGGGTGGTATCAAGCTTCTTGTGTGTTGGAGCTGCACCTATCCAGGCAAGTAGGGATTATTCCATCACACTCTTGACTTGTGCCTTGCAGATGGTGTAACTACCTCAGGAAGGTAGTTTTACACCACAATATTCCTAGCCTCTCATCTGCTCTTTTGCCACTGTATTTATATGGTGAGTCCAGGTGGTAAACCCCAGTATGTTGACAATGGGGGATTCACTGATGGTAACACTACTGAATGTCAAGGGGTGGTGGTTAGATTGTCTCTTATTAGTGATGGTCATAACCTGGCATTTGTAAGGCACGAATGTTACTTTGCCATTTGTCAGCACAAGCCTGGATCCTGTCCAGATCTTGTTGCATTTGAACACTGACAGCTTCAGTCTCTGAGGAGTCACAAAAGGTGCTGAACACTGCACAATCATCAGCAAACATCCCCACTTCTAACCTTATGGTGGGGCGAAAGACATTAACAAAGTAGCTGAAGATGGATGGACTTCGGACAGTACCCGAGGAATTCCTGCAGAAATGTCCTGGAGCTGAGAATGACTCATCTCCAACTACCACCCCTATCTTCCGAAGTTGCAGGTATGACTCCAAACTGTGGAGAGTTTGCCCATCTGTTTCCCACTGATGTTAGTTTTGCTAGAGCTCCTTGATGCCATACACGTTGAAGTCAAGGGCCGTCACTCTCACCTCACTTCTGGAACTCAGTTCTTTGGCCCATATTTGAACAAAGACTGTAATGACGTCAGTGGCCTAGGCAGAACCAAAACTAGGCATCAATGAGCAGGTCTAACCACCACCCCTTGACATTCAGTAGTGTTACCATCAGTGAATCCCCCATTGTCAACATACTGGGGTTTACCACCTGGACTCACCATATAAATACAGTGGCAAAAGAGCAGATGAGAGGCTAGGAATATTGTGGTGAAAAACTACCTTCCTGAGGTAGTTACACCATCTGCAAGGCACAAGTCAAGAGTGTGATGGAATAATCCCTACTTGCCTGGATAGGTGCAGCTCCAACGCACAAGAAGCTTGATACCACCCAGAGCAAAGCAGTCCGCTTGATTGGCACCACATCCACAAGCAACCACTTCCTCCACCACTGATGCTCAGGTCAATGCTGAGTCAGTGCTGTTGATAGCACTATTAATGACATACTCCATCACTTTACTGATGATCGAGAGTAGACTGATGGGGCTGGGTTGGATTTGTCCTGCTTTTTAATATACATGACACACGAGGGCAATTTTCCACATTGTTGGGTAGATGCCAGCGTTGCAACTGTACTGGAACAGCTTGGCTGGCGAAGCAGCAAATTCTGGAGCACAAGTCTTCAGTACTGTTGCCGGAATGCTGTCAGAGCCACAGCCCTCGCAGAAACCAGTGCCTCCAACCATTTCTCGATATCATGTGGAATGAATCAAATTGGCTGAAGACTGATATTTGTGATGCTGGAGGCCAATGGAGGAGTCCTAGATGGATTGCTGCGAATGCTTCAGCCTTATCCTTTGCACTGATCTGTTGGTCTCTTCCATCTTTGAGGATGGGGATATTTGTGGAGCCTGCTCCTCCAATAAATTGGCTTAATTGTCCCCCACTATTCATGACTGGATGTTATAGGACTGCAGAGCTTAGATCTGATCTGTCGGTTGTGTGATCACTGAACTCTGTCTATTGCTTGCTGCTTATGTTATTTGGCACACAGGCAGTTCTGTTTGGTAGCTTCACCAGGTCAACACTTCATTTTAAGATATGCCTGCACTGTCCACTGAACCAGGATTCATCCCCTGGCTTGATGATAATGGTGGAATGGGGTATGTGCTGTGCTAGGAGGCTGCAGAATTCTGCTGTTGTGAGTAGCCCACAGCACCTCACTGATGCCCACTCTTAAGTTGCTAGATCTGTTCAAAGTCTATCCCATTTAGCACAATGATGGGGCCGCATGATGAAGGGTATTCTCAATGTGAAGGCAGGACTTCGCCCCCATAAAGACAACGCAGTGGTTGCTCTTACCGATGATGTCATGGAGATGGCATCAGCAACTGGCAGATAGGGTAAGAATGAAGTCAGGTATGATTTTTTAATCTCTTGTTGGTTCCCTCACCACCCACCCAGACCCTTTCCAGCAGACGTTGAAATCCCCCACCCATCTTGCAGCCTTGCCACCCTCGCCACCCTCAGTGCTTCCTCCAAATGTTGTTCAACATGGAAGAATACTGATTCATCAGCTGAGGGAGGATGGTACATGGTAATCAGCAGGAGGTTACCTTGTCCATGTTTCACCTGAAGCTATGAGACTTTATGGGGTCCGGAGTCATAGCATCATAGAATCCCTACAGTATGGAAGCAGACCATTTGGCCCATCAAGTCCACGCCGACCCGCCGAAGAGCATTCCACCCAGACCCACCCTGCTACCCTATCCCTATAACTTTGCATTTCCCGTGGCTAATCCACCTAGCCTGCACGTCCCTGGAAACTACGGACAATTTAACATTGCCAATCCAGCTAACCTGCACATCTTTGGACTTTGGGAGGAAACCAAATCACCTGGAGGAAACGTATGTAGGCATGCGGAGAACGTGCAAACTTCACACAGATAGTCGCCCGAGGCTGGAATTGAACCCAGGTCCCCTGATGCTGTGGGGCAGCAGTGCTAACCACTGAGCCACCATATTGGCCCAAGATCAACATTGAGGACTCCCAGGGCAACTTTCTCCTGAATGTAAGCCACCTCTGTTGGGTCTGTCCTGCTGATGGAACAGGACATATCCAGAGATGGCGGTGGCGGTGTCTGGGATATTGTCTGTAAGGTATGATTCCGTGAGTATGACTACGTCAGGTTGTTGCTTGAGAGTCAGCTCTCCCAATTTTGGCACTAACAACCGATGTTAGTTACGAGGACTTTGTACAGTCGACAGGGCTATTTCTGCCAATGTCTTTTCTGGTGCCTAGCCTAGGTCAATACCAGATGTTCCATCCAGATTTCATTTCTATGACAAGTTATTGCAGTGATTGATGCAATTAAGTGGCTTGGCAGACCATTTCAGAGGGCAGTTGAGAGTCAAACTTATGTCTGTAACTCTGGCGCCAAACCAGGCAAGGATGCCAGATTTCCTTCACTGAAGCACATTAGTGAACAAGATGGGTTTTTCCGACAATCGATGATGGTTTCATGGTCATCAGTTAATTCTTAAAATGAATTCTAACTCGACAATCTGCCATGGCAGGATTTGAACACAAGGTCCCTACAACATTAACTGTGTTTCTGGAGTAATAGACTAGCCGTAATACCATTAAGACATTGCCTCCCCTCTCGTAGTAGCAAGTACCTGATAAAGAATCTGATTTTTCAATTGGATTTTCTTTCAGCTTGTGCTTGGTCTGTCAAGATGTGCCAAAACCAGGTAATGTGTCACAAACTCTGTGCATTACTTGTGAAACTTGTCACCACGCACATAAAGTCATAAAGTAATACAGCATGGAAACAGTCCTTCGGCCCAAACTGGTCCACGCTGACCATGGTGCCCACTCAGCTAGTTCCAATTACCCACATTTGGTCCATATCCCACTAAATCCATCTCATCCAAGTGTTTTTTAAATGTTGCTATTGTACCTGCCTCAAACACTTTCTCAGGCAGCCCATTCCATATATGCACCACTGTGTGTGAAGAAGTTGCCCCTCAGGTTCTTCTTAAATCTATCCCCTCTCACCTTAAACCTATGCCCTCTAGTTTTCAATTCCCCATCCCTGGGAAAAAGACTATATGTATTCATCCTATCTATGCTCCTCATGATTTTATACACCTCAATAAGATCAATCCTTATTCTCCTACATCCCAAGAAATAAAGTCCTATCCTGACCAACCTCTCTCTATAACTCAGGCCTACTGGTACTGGCAACATCCTTGTAAATCTTCACATAAAAGCAAGAAATTTATATGCACTAAGTTGAAACAGGTAGGGTAGCACTATCTCAAATAATTTTTTTTCAAAGAAATTTAGTTAATCTAAAATAAGTAAGATATCTATTTGCAATCAGCAGGAAATATGTACCACAGGACTTTTTTCCCCCCAGGAAGAAAAATAACAAAATTTGTAAAGCGTAACACTTTTGAAAAAGGTTTACAATGCCACAAAAAATGCCTTGCAAGTGTCACTAACCAATCTCTCTTGGGTTGGGCCAGGCTACCGGGTGGTGTGAGGACAAAGTTGAGAAAAGTGTGTCAGAGAATTCAGACATTAACATGTCCATATCCAAGAGCTGGTCCTCCTCCATGGGGACAGGTGTATCACTTCCTTTCCTTTTTGCACACCATGCCGCCAAGTCATCATCTTGAAATGGAATATAACAGGCTTCGGAGCCGCCATCGTCAAATCCAGAAAGCTGTATACCATTATCCAATATTATAGAAAGAATGGTTAGTGTAACTTACAAAAAAGAAGTGAACAACTTCCAACAAACACTTCATTATTGATGAGAACATTCTCTCAAGAAGGTCTATCAATCAAATACTTTTCATTCAACAAATGTTAAGGAACAGACAGCATTGCCAGTTTAAATAAAATTTCGAACTTGATATTTTAAAAATTCTCATTCCCACCTCCAACAACAAAAACCTTTCAACTGACAAGAGGAACAAAAGCTCAGCTGTGATTCCCAGACATCGCTAAGGCTATCCTTGGCCAGACTACGGAGAATTAACTATATTAAAAATCCCCTCTGACCACATGTACAAAAATAAGAAAAATTGCCTGCTACGGAAAGGTAACAAAATCTACATGGTATTCTGGTTTTGAACAAGTTATGCAGTCCTGTAGGTTTTATTTTTAAAAATACTGATTATAAAACCAGAAATATTCTAACGCAGCCATTACATTTTTGGTGTTTTTTTAAAAAATGTACAAGTACTCAAAATGAGGCGTCCCTGAAGTAAATATAAAATTAAATTCCAAGATTAATCATCATTCAAGCTCCTTTTCATTTTACTGGCGTCAGAGTTGGAGCATCACACTAAAATGCTTCAATACCTAAGGAGCAAATTAGAATGCCTATGGCCCAGAGGATCATGTACAGCATTCACTGTTGTTTCTGCAGTAAGAAATCCCTAGTATTCTTTTAAATGTAGTACATCAACAAACAGCTGGATGAAGGGAGCAATCAAGCCATTGGAGAATGAAGTGGAAATTAATTCAGCCTTTCCCCTCCAAACAAATTAAATCCCAAGATTCAAATCTTTCCTCCCGTTATTATGTCCCAAAATAGCTAGGAGCAAATATAATGCAAATTATCAAATCATATTTAATGGAAGAGCACTAGAACATCGAAATTTTACAAGTTAGAATAGATGTTTACAAATGAAAGAGCACCATAATGCTTTAAGACATTCAAAATGAAGTTTAGGAAGTTATTTAATCTTATATCCAGCAGATGGCAGTATTTATACTCTACTCTAACATTCGAGTTTTAAATAAATGGCCAAACCAATTTTTCTTTTAAATTTTTTTAAGGTAGTCAAGCTCCATAACATGAGCGCTGCAGAGATGGAGATGTGCGAGGATAAAGAAAGATGGAATTGAGACACCAAGCAGGAAATGGAAGAACAGTAAGTGAACAATGTTGAATGCAGAAGAGATAATCTTAAGGAAGCTTCTGAAGGTAAGTAGGATTCGAGCAAAGCTTAGGGGATTAGAATAAAAGAATTCGAAAGAACAGGACCATGATGGAGAAAAAGGCTTGGAACAAGGAACAACGAACAAAGAAGGAACAAGGAGCTGTTGAGGAGATAAACACACAACAGATAAAGAGACCAGGACTAGTGGTGAGGGCTATCTAATCAATTTGTTGCAGGATCAAAAGCCAAAAATGGGCTTTAAATTGTTGCCCAATTTGTCCATTTGGCAAGAAGAGTGCTTGTCCCTACAGCCAGTCCATTTTCAAAGAGCTTGCCAAGTAAGGTGTTATAAGCCTTCAAGTAAACCTTGCTGTAGCACCTGAACATACTAAGCTAATGCACAGGATTATGCTAACATACAAAGTGCACTGAATGGACAAGCATATCTGATAGCTGCTTTTTAGAAAATCCATTAAAAATATATTTGGGAGAGTCTGAAAGTATTAACAATAATCAAATTTTAAAAATGTGTTATGGACTAGACGAAACCTCCTAAAAATATATTAAGAAGACAGCTTAGACTCTAACCTTTTCCTATTTCAAACGTAATGCAATTCGAATAATCAAACTACTTGGCCTTATGCAAAACACACTATTTTTACACTACAGTTAAAATACAAAAAAAAACTAAAAGAATTGGCTGAAATGTAACTCTATCAAAATGCTAAACAACATAATACATACATAAACTACTACTAATTAACTGTTCCAAATAAGTAACATGCCATAAAACACAGCCTCAAAAGGCAAATTCAGTAAAACAGATTGTCTCACATGCAATTCTAGCAGCAGGAAAAGAACCCCAGCTTCTAACCATAACAGAGAGAGGAATAAGAGTTTCCACATACAGCTTCAAGACCCCAGCAATTGCAGAAAGCTAAAAACTAAAATTCCTGGTTCTGTGGGAACTTGGCCTCACCCATTCGGCTGCTTCTACTGTTCCAACTTTTTTAAAAAACCCAACACCTCACAAAGCTGTTTACTTTATTGGCTTTGAGCAGACCGCTCTGCATCTCTGTCTCAATCTTTCTTCATTAAAAAACCAGGACAAAATACACCTCTTAAAGCCATAGTATCGTCACAAATGCAAACATAAAAGTGGTCAAAATCACTCACCCCTTAATTTATCTGTTCAATTGCAATCTATACTGACCTTTAAATTTATGACAAAATTATGCAAAAATCTTTAGCCACAAAATACTTCATTAACTTATAGGCAGTGATCAGAAGTGTTATACACTACCAGCAGAACACATGGTGAATGACTGCAATTGTCCCTTTTGAACAAAAAGCAATCTTGTTATCAGATCATACCGTTGACATGTCAAGCATAAACAGGTGACATATTTCAAAAGAACTCGTCTTTAGTGAAAGTGTAATTTTAATTTTCAACTTACTTTAATCAAACTTGAAAGATCTTCATCTTTGTGCTTCTGTAACTGAAAAAGAAAAAGAAGCTAAAAATGTATCAAAGAAAAATAGATCATTGTGAAATGTTGATTGCAGAAACTGAGAAATGATCCCTTCATTCTGTTTGTAATGAGTTTTTAAATTCCCTAAAGAACAAACATATTTTCAATACACAATGCTAAAATAAGAGACTACAAAATTATCTCAAAGCAAACAACATACCCTTTTCTTGAAGTACGTGCGCCATTTGTGATACTCTCTTATTACAATCTCAATTCTTCTTTTCCAGAATTTTCCTTCTGTTACAGCTGCCTATGAAAATATTGGAATTTGTTAAAATCTCGACTTCACACAGAATTTGATCAATTGTACAATGTATCCAAAATTATGTTAAAATTGTTGTGAAACATGTGCATCCTGCTAACTAAAAAATGAAAACTTGGAAATTAAGGACATTTTTTGATTTGCAGTCACAGGGAAGTGAAAAATCCTGATCATACTAATAAGCAAAAAAAACCCTAAAAAGTTACACAATAACAAAAGCGCACAGAAAAAACAAGTCATATGCAAGAACTATAACAATCAGCATTTCAAGGGATAACAGAATCTTTTTACAAAAATTATTAGGGTCGCCATTATTCTTGTTATACGGAAGTTTCACATTCACTTACTTCTGGTCGTCGAGGTTCATCAAACTCGATTGTCCCATCCAATGGAGTAACAAAGTGACAAACTGGATTGTCACGTTTTTCTACATCTAAATGAGAACAAAAACTTGTTACATCAGCAATATTGGCAATTTTGTTTTAAAAACCAGCATTTCCTGCAATCACAGAACTTAGCTGCTCTTTTTGGAGGTGGGTGGGGGAGAATAGAAAAAGGAATAGCCAGAGTTTAGCAACCCTATGTGGTCTGCAGTGAGGTAGGAAGGAGATCACACAAAATAATCAAAGATAAAAAGGAATACATTATTGATAAGAATTAAGTTTAGAAGATAGCCTGAAAGCAACCTGTGTGGAAACAACATGCAAAATGGCCACCTAGTTGCGATTTCCGTCAAAAGGCTCATGAACTTTTCTCTTAGTCTGTAGTTTTCTATTGGCATCCCCATATAACTTCCCACTCTTCCCTAAGGTCTAAGGATTCCAGCATCCAGACTGATGCTCCAGGTTGTGTAAAGAATGGTTGCACAGGTAAAATATCAGATAGCTTCTAGTGCATGTGGAATTGGGTTACTAGCTTAAGCCAAAGTCTTCAGAGATTAGAAACTGTGGACGCAAGGTAGTTATGGAATGTCAAGACTAGGAACGATTTGCTCTTCTAATGATAAAAACGAATGCACAATTCAGAAACATATAGTCTAAGCCATATCATCTTGACAGGGAGAATACCAGCCTCAACAAGTAAATAATAGTCAACCTGGCCATTTATACAGGGGGATTAAGTCATCTGATTGATTTGAAACTTTGAAAAATTTAATAATCTGCATTGTTCCGATGTGTTCGGTCTAAGAAGGCATATGCAAACAATGACAATAGAATTCTCCATTACAATGTGGCATGGTGACAGCAAGTTGTGGGGAAACATTTCTCTCCGAAGAATTCTCTATCTGCACCACGATTATTCCAACATATGCTTGTGGAAACATTTTAAAAATTAGCTTGCTTTCCAAAAGTATTATGTTAAATAACAAATATCTGCCCTAATTCGAATGCTGGTTCTAAGAGTCAGCAAACAAGTAGAAATGCTTGAGGAGCATCATTTATCATTAAAAAAAATTGAGGGTGGGGGAGGAAAGAGATTTAAAAAGCCATGCCTGTATAGATCAGAATATTGCAAGTTTAAAAAAGATCAAGTTCATCTGAAAATCACGATACTGAATGATGTAAACTTATTTAGGCACTCATTATCATTCTAGTGAAAGATAAATCTGAGTTCAAACTCCCACTTAAGCAAAAAAAAACACCCAGAGTACATACATTGACTTTGTAGAGGAGATATGAAATGTAAGATTGGGTACACTGGGCTAGATAACACAACAGACATGAGGTAATGAAATGAACTATTTCACATTTGTATCAGCGCACTTCATCAAGAACTGCAGGAATAAATTGTTAGCTGAGAAAATAAAGGTAAATGAGATTTTACTCACATTGCATGTACCATGCCCTCCAGATAGCATTGTTCAGTCGAATTTTGTCTCTCCAGAGAAGTTTCAATCCTTTGAAATTTTTCCATTTAGGTGAAACCAACTTTCCACTAGAAACAAATGGGTATCAATATATCAGTTTCAACAAATTAAATTGATTCAGGGCTAGTTGAAAGGTAGTAACTAAAATGATTCATGTGTGAAACAGCAGGTAATCTGACAACAAATCTGCAACTGTTTGAATGGACGTGCGCTTAATTTGGGCTCATGTTACCTCTGCTTATCTTTAGCATTTGCAAAATGCTCATTCCACCAAGTAATACATAAATGAAAGGATCTATTCAAAAGCAACAAACAACCAAAGATGTGAAGTGCAGGAGTGTATAATGATGGCATATTATTATGCAAAGTCTGCTCGCTGAAGTGAGGAGGACACATCTGTCTGGGTATGCTGGAGCAGCAAGAAGCAAGTATGAAGAATGCAGTCAGGTGTGGAGTAAAGTGCAGCTTCGAAGGCATACGTGAAGGTCATATTGGCAACAACATTACAGGGGATTACTTTATTGACAGCACCTGACATGACCATCAGGAAGTGGTGCAGTCGTTCAATGAACACAGATGAATCTCGTTTACCAAAAAAAAAGGTGTGATTTTGTCAGAGGTGAAAATGTAAAAAAAAACAGGAACCAAACTGTCCACTTTAAGTTTTAATAGAGGTGGGTCAAGAGATTGGTGTTTAACCCATTCACAAGAAGTGGACTTGCCATTTAAATATTATAATGATGCCTGGTGCCTCCATTTTAACAGCCATTCTATTTTTACTCAAGAGATGATCAGGTTTCCAGGGCCTTGGGAAATTAGGCAGCTAAAAGGTAAACCAGATTAAAAACTATGAAGCAAGCTACCCAAATGCCCTCAAATCACCAGACATTCCCTGCCATGCCCCCAATACTGTGACCAGAAATTCAAACTTCTCAGCAGACACCTCCTACCATAATGAGGAATTCCACAACCCTGCACTCACCCTCACACAGATGTTGAGGATACATAGGGCAAGGGCTCAGGTCAGAGGATAATCCGAAATGGAATATGTAAATAGTCAACAAGGCTGAAGTGTTACTTTTATCCCAAAACACTAGAGATGCAAGATTTGAAAAACCGTCCCAGCCTTTTATTTTAAACAAGTTATACCGACAAGGAAAAGATGATTAATAAAAAAATTGCACTTATACAAATAAATCTTTCAACAATTCATTTCACATATTTCTGCCATCCTCGTCAAATAGGCACTTGATCTCTAGGTAGAGAATGAATTGGAAAGTAAGAAATCTGTGTTTTAACCTGTACTGCCAGATAGTCCAAGAATTCTGCATGTCTACTACAATGTTACCAAAAGTTCTAATGATAAAACTGCATTATATAACTTGCATATTCAGGGACTACAGCTTGCTGTTATTTCATTAGCTCAATACTAATGGCTTCCAGCGATGGGGCTGTTTGCATGCATTGCCCCCTCATCTATACACACACATACATTTTGCTCATATAATTTGATGCAGTGCAGATGTACAAGTTCTGTGGGTATTCTTTATCCCTATCCTTATGAATGGAAGCTTAGCGATGATTAAGTGATTGCAATACTAGAGATTATTTCAATCAAATTAATGGAAAGTAGCTAATGGCATTATAAATTAGCTTAAATAATGAGGAGCAGATGGCAATAACAAATAGAAAAAAAAAGTGTGTCTTTGGACAATGACGACGGCAGTTCCATTGAAAATACTGTTATTCAAACAACTCAAATAGTTTGCAGGCGATATTTATTGTAATAAGAAACTCGATGACACCAAGCTGAGAGATTGGGCGGTAAATATAAGAGTCCATAAACAAAGTGAATATGGCAATTAAAACAAATTCTTTTCTTTCAATTCTGGCAGTTAGGCACACCATTGTTCTGCCATTCTCACATTTCAATCACTTAATCTGAACTATCAACATCTTCTCTCCACCAACACCCTACACCCCACTACCACGCACCCCACCCCCCCCCCCCCCACCAACTACAGCATAAATGCTGCCACCCTCGCCACTTCAATTCTGCTGAAGAGTCAGCTAGACTCAAAATGTTAGCTTGTTGTCTCTCCATGGATACTATCTGATTAGCTGTGATCCCCAGCATTTGTTGTTTTCTATGTAGAATATTAATTGGGAATACAAAATTAAGCTTTACCGAAGACCTTACCCCCCAAAAAAAATTCAGTGCCACAAGCTAAGTGTGGGTAACTAGGAATCTGGATGAGGATAACTGTATTTTTGATAAGTACATGAAAATTGACTGGTACAGACAGTTATTGGGTCTGTGATCTCAAAACTAAATTTATACAGGACACACATACTTACTTTAACCTATCTGTACACTTATTGGGTAAAATGTTGGGTAAGGTAGGTAAAAATACCTGTTTCACCTTATGAATACTGCACTAGTTTGCCAATGGGTCAGGCAATAATCTAGAGATTATCATCTTGGAGGTTCTACTTTTTAAATTTAGCTCCTGTTTAAAATCTTACAGCAAAACCTCCTTTCTACCCTTACCAATATCACTGGTACCAACATGCAGGATGACCAATAGATCCCTCCCCTCCCTCACCATCTTGAAGTCCTTCTCCAGCCCTGAGGAGATGTCCTTATCCTGGCACCTGGCAGACAACACAGCCTTCAGAATTCCTGTTTATGGCTGCAGAGAACAATATCTACTCCCAAACTGTACTGTCTCCTACCACAACTACAGTCCTATTTTCCTTCCTCCCACCACTTGAATGGCTCCCTGTACTGAGGTGTTGAGGCCAGTTTGCTTACCTCCTTGTAATCCCAGTCTTGTTTGCACAGCTTGAAAATAACCTTGTAGCTGTTGGATAATCGCAGACATGGAGTCTTCTCCATTTTAAACCCTGGGTCTTCGTATTTGCCTCATCTGCAATGAGACCCTCCTGAACCTGATCACAGACCAATTCTGAATTGCCAAATCTAAGAGATGTGACCATTCTCTAGTGTAAAACATTCAGCTAACTATCACATTCCCTTGTGTGGCACAATGCCTGCAGCTCAGACTCCAGCTCAAGTCGGATGTGAGGTTCCTTGAGCTGCAAACATTTAGTACAGATGCAATTGCTCTGGATCGCATTGGCGTCCAGCAATATCTCTCATATCCTGGCATCACTAACGTATTTGCTTTAACTTGTATATTAATTACTTGAGATTCCCTGCTCTTTACACTTTACTGTAATAATATTGTTTTTATCAACTAAAAAGAAAAAAAATCACCAGTATTAATCTAATACTTAAGCTACTATTTTTAAGAAATGGAAGAAGAAAAACACTGGAGACCTAAACACAAACTGAAGACCTTACTTTTACTTTAAAGACTAGAAATTTCACAATACTACTCTTTAATCAGCTTCTTGCCTTGTACTTGTGTCACCCTGTGGTTTATCACATCATTTCACCTTATCTGTTGCTTGGGAGAGTTTACTTCTTGCAGTAAACCCTAGTTAAAGCACCTCTGTCCTCTTTGCATTGAACTTCCACTTTGAGCCAAAATTTTCAACAGCATAGTTAGTAAGTCACTCAGCTGACCAGTTTAGAAAAAGTGAGTGGAGAAATATTTTCAAAAAAAAAAAATACATCCAAAAGAAAATTCTATTTCTCCACACTGCATTTGAGCACTATTTACTAGTCGTTTAGAAAGCATACACTAGAAAATGAGATCCACTGACAAACAAAACTTTGGCCATACAGAACAATATTAAGTTATTCAATAACTGAACCAATGTTCCTTCCCAATGCTCACTTAGTTAGATTATTTAGCAGTTGTAAAGATGTCCCATTTACAAGAAAATTGTCTGTTTTACTGAACACAGTACCAGGAAGCAACACGATTAAATAACATCTAAATAGTTTGATATATCGTAATTTCAAACTATGTTACAGCTGTACATCATAGATAATTAGCTATTGTTCACAAAAGGGCTAAAGACATCTCTCTCCAAATAGGGGAAGGCAAGGAGGCAGGTTTCCATGAACTACTACAGCTGATATGGGATTAAACCTGTGGCATTCTGCACCATACCCCACCATTCTAACCAACTTAAATAAACCCCTGTACAGCCACTGATTACTAAATTTGACATTGACTACTGCCAGTATCAGTTAATTTGCATTCCCAACGGGAAGCAACAAGAAACTTTAAACTACATAGCTACTAGGCTCAATTTAGGCAATACTAGAACCACCACATAAACAGATCACTTGCAGATCAAAACAGAAGATAAGCTAAACTGAAGTAGAAAAACAGCCAGGAAGACTGGTTCACACTGTGCATTCAATGGTCCATTATACACGTTTACACGACTCTACAAACATTTGCAGGCAAGAAAAGGTGCAACTTAAATCATAGTAGCCTAAAGTCAGGCCGGAGCAAGAGCCTTCCTTGTGAGTTTTATTTTAAACTCACTCACCTAATTCATACATTCCATTATTTAAACTTTCTCACTTTAGTTTAAAACAAAACAAGTGTCCTTTTGCAAGGCTGTGATTAATAGTGACAAACAGGTAGAGGAAAGGAAGAGATACACCAACATTTCCTAATGTGAAAGGTTCTGCCACCAAAGAATAAGGGATCTTTCAGTGGACCATAGAATACAGGCAAGGCCTTTGGCCTATCAAACCTGTACAGCCAAAAATATTCTACCTACACTAGTCCCACTTTTCCCACACTAGGTCCTTCAACTGAGGGGAACAGCTGTTTTCTATTCGCCATGTCCATGCCCCTCAATCACATAAATCTCTACCAGGTCACCCTCAAACTTCTCTGCCCCAAAAACAACCTGAGCTTCTCCAGCCTCTCTTCATAGCTTAAATGCTCCTTCCCAAGCAACATCCTGGTAAGTCTCCTTTGCACCTCCTCCAATGGAATCACATCCTTCCTGTAGTGTGGTGACCAGAACTACACACAATACTCCAGCTGTGGCCTAACCAAAGTTCTGTACAGCTCCAATACCATACACCATAACTGATAAAGACATGCACCCCATATGCCTTAACTATCCTATTAAGCCGTCCTATCACCTTCAAGCTTCCCAAAATCCTTCTGTACCTCTGAGCGTCCTAGAGTCTGGTCATTCATTGAGTACTCCCGTGTCTTGTTCCTTCTTTCAAAGTACATCACCTCTCCTTCAGAGAAGCAGGAATAGCAGTAATCAATGCAGGGAGAAGTTCATGGTTAAACTGGATACTGTCTTAACCAGGTAGCATCATGTCAAAGACTAGAGGTTCACAATAAAAAGTAAGGCATATGTTTATATTTACAATTCATGCCAAACCTACTTTGACAAACTCACTCCAAAACAAACTTGGTGTATCTCACTACTATCCTGCAAAAACCTTTAATTTTAAACATGCCTTCCATATCTTTTTAGTATAGAGGAAAGGTAAAGAGAAGGACACTTTATTGTTGCATCAAATGAGAATTGAATTCACTGTTGGAATATGTCTTTGCCCAAAACTTGCCAGTAAGCCAAGGGAGAGAAAATAATAGCTTATGCTACAGCCGCTATGACAAACATGGCATCTTCTATGCCTAATACACCTAGGCGTAATAAAATGTAAACCTTCTCATCAGCTAGTTATTTCTTATTGTTCACTGGTTCTTAATCTTCAACAAATTCAAATCAATTGAGAGAAGAGATTCAAGTGTGTGGGTCGGTTCTCCTTGGAAACAGGGCCAAGAGAAGATCTGATAGAAATTTTCAAATTTATTAGCAGTCTGGACACGGTAGATAGTGAGAAACTGTTCCGGCTCCTTAACGAATCAAGCATGAGAGGGAACAAGTTTAAATGATTTGCAAACGTAGCAAATTTGACATGAAAAAATTTCAACAGAGTTGTTTGGGTCTGGAATGCACAGCTCGGAAGCGTGCTGAAGACAGAGTCAATTGAGGCATTCAGTTGAGACTTTAGATGAATATTTGAATAGAAACAATGTGCAAGAATACTGGGAAAATTAGGTGAATGGCACCACGTCATCATGCTGCCTGGAGAGCCAGTGTGGTGCAGTCATGGTGGTCCTATTTGTCTTCTGTGCCATAATAACTCAGATTCTGTAAACTAAGGCTTACCATAATCTACAGTAAGTGTATAAAAGATATATTTTCAATCAAGAAGTTTGCTTAAACCAACTGAATATTTTCCATAGATAATAATAGGATCCACAACATTCTGGTGTCTACCTGCCTGAGGCTGTTGAAGTGAGCAATCAGCTTTCCTCGTCTGTTGTCCATTCTTCACCCTCCGTTACTTCAGTTTATTTAATATTGAAATATCCTACCCTGCCTTAAGAGTAGTTCATCCATTTTCCTTCCTGATCTTTATTGGTTTTGGCTTTCCATTGCTTTATCTGAATGTACAATTTATTATCCTTGTGTTCAAATTGCTCCTGCCATATACAACAAAATCCCACCAAAAATAACCATGGTAAAGTTACATTTGTCTAACATGCTGGAATCTCCTTCCTACACCTGTCTGTCTGTCTGTACATCTATTTAGTTAAAGGATGTGAGTTCAAAGGAGTGTCCATAAGCTTCTGGTGACCGTTCCCAATTATTCAGAGTCATAGAATTGTGTAGCACGTAAAAAGTCCCTTCGGTCCAACTCGTCCGATGCTAAGTTTCCCAAACTAAGCTAGTCCCTGCATTTGTATCAGATCCCTCTAAACCTTTCCTATTCATGTACCTGTCAAATGTCTTTTAAATGCTGTACCTGCATCTACCACTTCCTCTGGCATTTCATTCCACATTATGAACCACCCTCTGGGTGAAAGAGTTGCCCCTCAGATCCCTTTTAAATCTTTCTCCTCTCACCTTAAGATATATCCTCCAAAATTGAACATCCCCATCCTCGGCAAAAGACCTTCGCTATCCACCTTATCTATGCCCTTCATAATCGTATAAGCCTCTTTAAGGTCATCCCTCAAGCTCCTGCAGTCCAGGGAGAAAAGTCCAAGTCGATCCAGCCTCTCCTCGTTACTCAAGCCCTCCAGTCCCGGCAACATCCTGCAAATCCTTTCTGAACCCTCCAATTTAATAATATCCTTCCTATAGCAGGGAAACCAGAACTGTGCACAGTATTCTAAAAAGTGCCCTCACCAGTGTCCTGTACAAACTCAACAGGACGCTCCAAATCCTATATTCAGTGGTCTGAGCAAAGAAGGTAAATGTGCTGAATGCCTTCTTAACTACCCCGTCCATCTGTGACGCAACTTTCAAAGAACTATGTACCTGAAACCCAATGTGTCGCCGTTCGACAACATTCCCCAGAACACCAATTTTGGTGTCATCCACAAACTCACTAACTATGCCTCCTAAATTCTCATCCAAATCGTTTATAGAAATGACAAAAAACAGCGCACCCAACACCGAACCCTGTGGAAGATTGCTGGTCACAGGCCTCCAATCCAAAAAACCACCCCCCAAGGCTACCCTCTGTCTGCTCCCATCAAGCCAATTTTGTATCCAATGAATCGCATGTGATCTAACTTCACTAGTCAGTCCACCATGCAGAACCTTGTCAAAGACTTTACAAAAGTCCATGCCTCTCCAAATGCATGTAAATCCTGTCTCTCAGAAACCCCTCCAACAACTTACCCACCACTGATGTCAGACTCACCAATTTATCATTCCCAGGCTTCTCCTTACAGCCTTTCTTAAATAAAGGCAAAGTTTTAGCTACCCTCCAGTCCTCCTGCACTCACCCATTGCTATAGATGATACAAATATCTCTGCTAGGGACCCTGCAATGTCCTGGGATATGCTTGATCGGGTCCCAGAGACTTATCCATCTTTAATTATTTAATACCTCCAGTGCCTCCTCTTCTGCAATGTGGACTG